GACGAATCATGAAGTTTCTGGCGATCTGGATTTCTATTTTCATTGATTGTCTTTACTGTTGTCATTACTTTCCCTGGTAATTTACTTTCATGCAATTTATGTTCGTTCAGTCACTTACATTTATCAACTTTAAGTATATGTCCTTTAAATTCCTTGTCATTTACCTTTATGCAAGTTAAGATCCTGCGTTTAAGTTCCTCACCATTTATACTTCTGCAATTTCGATATCCTACTATTTACACTTCTGTAATTTCGATTTCCTGTTATTTACATTTTTGCAATTTCAATTCATTGTCATTTACACTTAATGCAATTTTAAGGTTCTGCATTTACATTTCTCTGTAATTTAATATTCTGCATTGTTTTTCGTCTCGATACCTTTTTACTGCTTTCTTTACTTCGAGTTTCTTAATAAAAAATACCAAAAATAGTACTATCAATTTCGATATGCATGCTTTATCATATTTTCTGTGTTTTTAATATACGTGCATGTTTTATCTTTCATTCGGCTCGATACTGTGGCGTTTTCGATTTTCATATATGTTTTGATTGAAAACTGTTTGCTAGCTTAAGTAAAAAAAATTTACGTGGTTGAAATTTGGTTAGAACCTAAGTATCTGAGAAATCGAAATCGACCAAATTTCCACCAGAAATAGATATATCAAGTGTGATTCGTACAAAGAGGTTGACGTTTTGGAGGAAAACATTCTTAAGTTGTCTTTTTTAAGAAGTATTATATGATTTCACCACTGTAAGTACATAGACGTTACTATGGTTTAAGCTGGAACTTGAACATTCTTCCATCAAATAATGTGAACTGTCCTCGAACTCAACTCTTGATCTAGGTTGATATTTTCATGTTTTGGGTTGGATTTAACCATGATAATAATTTCATCATCAATTGAGATTTTCATGGCTATGGTAAAGGAGAGAGAAACAATCCAAGTTGATTCGAACGGATAAGTTATTTTTAAATAATTGAATTATAATTAAATTAATATAACAAATAGGCACACAAAAGTTGAGAACAATTTGCTGAATTTTTTTCAAAACTAATTTTGGTAAAAAACAAAAATTAAAGATAAATTTTAAAAGATATTTTTTTAATAAAAGATATAATAATTTTTAAGGTTTTTTTTCTTCTTTATCCGTATAAATCACGTCAACTTCAAATAATATTTATTTTTATTTTATTTTTTATATTTGTGTGATTTTCATTATTATATTACAATGTCCTTGTTATCAATAAATTTATTATACTATTATTTAATAAAAAGTAATTATTTTATTAAATGCAGTTAGATTTTTAATGAACTTTAAACTGATTTAATAATTAGTATGATTTTAAAAATATTAATATTAACAATGATAATCATGTTGAAAAGAGTTAAAATGACAAAAAAATATCATTTATTAAGTGATTGGAGAAAAATATTATTTCAAGTCTGACTTAATTAAGATCCATGATACATTTTTTTTTTTGCAAAATTGAATTACCACATAAGTGAAATCACTTTTTTTTTATATTAATGACTATTGTACATCTTGCTAATTATCTAATGTAACTTACTTAAGGTTGAAGACTTTTAAAATTATTTCTTCTTTGCTAAGTTTAGGAATCATATTTGGGTCTTCTAAGAGATCATTTAAGTCATGGTTGACTCATATGGTGGTGGTTTTGAATTTTGTATTTTTCTCATTACGTACCTCATGTCTCATGTTCTTAGATCAATCATGTAACGACCCTAGAAATCGTTATTATAGTGATGTTTTCACAAAATAGTAAACAAGTAAATAACGACATCTATCTTACATTATATTACTATAATTGTAACATAGATTAAAATTCCGGTTCATTAACGGAAGCTCAAAATATAGTAACATAATTTATTTATATATTATACATGTAAAAGTAGCTCCCTCGAAGTTATCCCACTGAACTATCCCTGCTATCAAGTAGTCAAATCTCCATCTCTCAACTCCTGATCTGCTCCCACATAAAAGTGATCATCGCAGTCTCAACCAAATGGAAAAATAGGGGTAAGTATTAAATCATTCGATATAATAAAACAGATATAGAAGTAATAATTATATATTATGATCAATTACGAAATCATCAATACACTAAGACACCTTCCGAAAGTATACCCTAACTATGCCCAAACTCAGAGGCTATCATTTGTGGGTACATTGTGATCAGCACCCGTAGTACCATTCTGACTACCCTCCACACAGAGTAGGATTACTGGCGCCCTTCATCACTCATACTGAAGTACCCCTCCGAGCGCGCCACCAGCCATCCCCCATCGACTTCTCACCACCTGATCTCGTAGTCTACCTGACCCGACCAATCGGTGAAGTCTCGGGACCTCATTCGAATCCTCCAACATAGTTATTACACTAATGTACTTTGTACCACCCCGAGTACCATTCAAACACAACAAAAATCATTCACATTTGCCAGATTCTGGACCACCTGTCCTCACGGCTCATTCAAGTCAATAAATAATAGTATGTGACTGATTCTGGGCACTAACCCTCCAGTTCAGTCTAGCCAATACATAACATCTCATGACTGATTATGGGCATCAGCCCTTAGACTCGATCCGACTTACACACGTCACAACACACTACTAAATCTTAAAAGCTGCTACATTCATTCTATATTTTAAATATATATATATATATATATATATATATATATATATATCTTTTTTTTTCAAAATCATTTTCGAAATTATTTTCAAAATCTTTTTCGAAATCATTAAATTACTATTTTGCCCTTAATCTTTTCTAAAAATTCCATGTATGTCCCTAAATGACTATTTTATCCTTGGACATTTTCAAAAATTCCTTTCATGTCCCAAAAATGACTATTTTACCCTTGAACATTTTCAAAAATTCCATTTATGTCCCTAGGATGTAAAATGACTATTTTACCCTTGATCTTTTTAAAAAATTTCCACCATATCCCTTTCTTCTTCCTTCGCCCAATTACAATGTCAGATTTTGCAGATTTCAAATTACTTTCTTTTAGACAACCAAACTAGTCCCAAATTCAAATTAAACATGACTTATATATAATTTAAGTTGAAAACAACAATTTTATCATATAATTCATCCTTAATTTGAAGAATTTCAACAAAATTTCAAGTTTTGCAAAACATGAAAAATCTTCAAAATCAATTATTCTAATGTTCAGATTTTCACTCCTATTCTTTATTCACAGAGTACCCAACAATTCAATTTCATATATTGAATGAATTAAACTTCCCCTTATCTGGTGTGGTATTTTTACGGAAGCTTTCCCACTTAATTTAAATTCTCTCCTGTTTCACCAGATCCTGCAAGAGTAGAGTATCGTTGCTTGAATTTTAGACAAAAGAATAAGAAGAATGATGAACACGTGATATGGGAGGAATAATTTCTCGCTGTAATCATTCCTCCCCTTCGAACATATAAAAGAAAAAAAATTTACTATACATGAAAAAAACTTCATTACAAAGTTTTCTTGCACAATAATATTATTAAAAAAATCATGCCTCACATATGATGTCTTTTGGATTATTTAATTACAATTTGTCCAAGACATAAGTAATTTGTAAGTGTGCCATCACTGTGTGTATGGAAATCTCAATGTTTAGGTTGCAAATATTGAGGGATGAAGATATGTAAGTCAAAATTGCGTGTATGAAAACCTCTAGGTTGTAGATCTTGAGAGATGGAGCGAAAAATCATGCCATAAAATTTCAAAAGAGATTTGTTGTTTCCTTGTTTTATGTTTTTCAAGACCAACAAAATTGTTTTACGAGGTTGTCTTGTTGTGAAAAAAAATTGATATTTTATTAAACATTTCACTTGGTTGAGAATTAACATGATATTGTTGAGATTGAGCATCAAGAGTAAGTGTAACCACAACTTTAACACATGTCTTTTTTGGTTATTTATAATATCAAATTAAAAAAAAAAATTTCACTCTTTATACGTATTTTATGTTCTCTCTTGGAACTATCTTTTTTTACTCTTTATACATGTTAATGTTCTCTCCCTTTCTATCACACTTTTTCTCTCCTCTCTCTCTTTCTTTTCTTTTCATTTACAATAAACGATTTTTTCTTCTCTTCAAAAGCCACAATAATTATTTTCTATATATTTTCAGTATAATAAAGAATAATTTTATTTGATAAACAATAATCTAATTTAAAATTATGATTAAAAAAATTATAAAAAAGAAACCATAACATATATATGATCGTATTATAATTAAATAATATTTTAAAAATATAATTGGAGAAAATTGATTTTAAGTATTATTTTTTATTAATTTATCTATCAATAATAATTGATTTATATAATATTTGAGTCATTAGAATATAGATAATTAATATATATATATTTGGATATAATAGATTTTTTTTCAATAAAAATTTAAAATATGGTCTTATTTCAGAAAAATTCAGTTTTTACTGTATCCTTTTAAATTTAGATTTTATTTTATTTTATTTTTATATTCAATTTTTGTAGGTTTATTTAGTTTTTGGAAACATAACATTCATATTTTAAATACAAATAATAATTTTAACAACAAAAACACTTTTGAGTCACATGTAAATAGAACAGAGGAAATATTTTGTTATTTGTTCATTAATGATTAATCATAAAGAAGAAGAATTTGGTAGAGAAAAATTCGTCTGATGTGTCACGAAAGCAAAAGAATCCGTTGGCAACAAAGTTTAATGCTGAATGGGCCATCCCGGCCACTTCAACGAAATTTCAATTCCACTACTGTTACTATTATTTTTCCGATTTTTCCTTTCAAATCTTCAAACCGTTGCGGTTTCTCTTTTTTATTTTTACATTTTTTATTTCTTCCCAAAGTCGGTCACCTCCTCCTTCTCTCACCTCTCTCTCTGTTCTCTTCTCCATAACTGAGGTGAGAGAGAGAAACAGCGTCTGAAGAATCTTCGCAAAAAGAGGCAGGAAAAACAGAGCAGAGCACCATGAAGCAAAAGCTCGAAACGTTGTTTTGTTTAACAAGAAAACGATCGATTCAGTTTCTGATCGGTGCGTTTTTCTTGTACCTCGTACTCGTCACACTCGAAATCCCTATCGTTTTCAAAACCGACTTCACCACCGTAGCCACGCGCCCTCCGAGACTCCTAAGCGAGGAAGACTCGCAACTAAAGGAATCCCCTGCGCGTCCTTTGAAAACAGTTTCCAACGCCGCCTCGCCGAGTCAACTCGCTCGCCGCAGCCTCGTTTCCGCGTTGGTCCTAAACGACGCCGCGTTCGAATCTAACGGCAACGATGGGTCGTTGGAGCTTTACAAGCTCGTAAAGCACGCGCGGCAGGTTGGACAGAATCTCTGGGAGGACCTCGAATCTGGAAAGTGGCGGACCATTGTCTCGAGGCCCGAGAACCGGTCCGGTTCGTGTCCCGGTTCGGTTTCTCTGGCCGGTTCGGACATCTCAGGTGTCGTACCGCTGCCGTGTGGGCTCACATTGGGGTCCCACGTGACGGTAGTTGGGAAGCCGTTGGCGGCGCGGCCGGATTTCGAGCCGAAGATAGCTGTGGTGGCGGAGGATGAAGCGGTGATGGTATCGCAGTTCGTGGTGGAGTTGCAGGGGCTGAAGACGGTGGACGGTGAAGAGCCTCCTAGGGTTTTTCACTTCAACCCGAGGTTGAAGGGGGATTGGAGTGGGAAGCCTGTGATTGAACTCAACACATGTTATCGCATGCAATGGGGTTCCGCTCTTAGGTGCGACGGTTGGAAATCCAAGGCCGATGAAGATACCGGTGAGTTTCGAAACTGAAATTTGATATTTTTTCGCTAGTTTAGAAGTTTGATTTCGTGTGATTTATCTGAAAATTGGTAAATTAGGAATGTTTTATGATGTGGATAGCTTACGAGTAATTTTAACATGTTCTCCATTATATGGTATTCTTTAATATTTGATCTTTTTTTTTTAAATTTTTTTTTCTTTTTTGGATTGACAAAACTAATTAGAATGACTTAACAATATTTAATCGCTATTCAATCACTAAATTACCTTAAAAGTCATCCAAAGATGATTGATTAGATTTCTGATTTTCTGCTCAGTTGATAGTGTGGATTTGTTCAAGAAATGTGATGTTCTTTTTTTTGTGATGAGGTTGCTTGTGTTTGGTTGTGGTTGATTGAATTGAATTGAGTTATTGCTTGCATTGGGTGCAGTTGATAGGATGGTGAAGTGCGAGAAGTGGATTAGGGATGATGAAGATCACTTAGAGGAGTCTAAGTCGTCGTGGTGGTTGAAAAGACTGATAGGGCGCACCAAGAAAGTAAATTTTGATTGGCCATTCCCGTTTTCTGAGGGGAAGCTATTTGTTCTTACCATTAGTGCTGGGTTGGAGGGGTATCATGTTACTGTTGATGGGAGACATGTGACATCTTTTCCTTATCGCACTGTGAGTGATACATCCTTTCCTTTGAAGTTATCTACCTGGGCTTGAAGATTTATATGCTTGATCACTTGATTTTGCCTTTTGATTTTGGCAGGGTTTTACACTCGAGGATGCCACTGGGCTTTCGTTGACAGGAGACATTGATGTCCACTCTGTATTTGCAGCGTCTTTGCCTTCATCGCATCCCAGTTTTGCCCCGCAGCGGCACCTTGAATTTTCCACCAGGTGGCGTGCCCAGCCACTTCCTGACTCTGGGGTAGAATTGTTCATCGGTGTCCTCTCAGCTGGAAACCATTTTTCTGAGCGAATGGCGGTGAGAAAGTCATGGATGCAGCATAGGCTTGTCAAATCTGGAGCAGCGGTCGCACGTTTCTTTGTTGCACTGGTAGGCTATTTGTTTTTACAACTATTATTTTGTTTCTGATGTTCAACTGAAGTTTCTTACTGTTTGATTGAAATCTTGGCAGCATGCAAGACAAGAAATTAATGTAGAGTTGAGGAAGGAAGCAGAATTTTTTGGTGATATTGTTATAGTGCCTTACTTGGATAACTATGACCTTGTTGTGTTGAAAACAGTGGCCATATGTGAATATGGGGTGAGTTATTGAATAAAAAGAATGGAGTTTTGAACTACCAAGTTTTGAGTGACATTTAAGGATTTTTTAACGGAACATAAGATGTGCTGTATTGTTCATAGGTTCATACGATTTCTGCTAAGTATATCATGAAAGGTGACGATGATACTTTTGTTAGAGTGGATGCCGTTATCAGTGAAGCGAGGAAGGTTCCAGATGATATCAGCTTTTATATTGGGAACATAAATTACTATCATAAACCCTTGCGATATGGGAAATGGGCAGTGACATATGAAGTAAGTAATCAGCACCCGTTGCGATGCTTTTGTTTAAACGTTAAACTCAGGAGTGAGAATACTCTAGAAATAGTTATTTTGGTAATGTCGATTAAGAATATGTCTGTATTTTGATCCAAAAAATGCCTGAAGTTACCTGTTTTCTTTCTTAGCTCCAAATTCCAGTTGCACCTTTTGTCGGCCGTGTGAATTTATGAACTGTGTACCATGGTCCTGGAGTGTGTTGGCCATATTGTGACTGATTTAACTAGGCCTCGTGCTTTCGTACTATGGCCATTGGCCACATTAAACTTCTTGCATGAAAAAACTTGGTGTATTTAAATATTGATATTTTTGTTTCCTTCTCCTTTTTTTTTTTTTCAGGAATGGCCAGAAGAGGATTACCCACCCTATGCTAATGGCCCGGGTTATATTTTGTCATCAGATATTGCCCGATATATTGTATCTGAATTTGAAATGCATAAATTAAGGGTTGGTTAACATAATTTTATGTTGCATTTTTTGCTTTGCTCTTCATTTGAAATTCTGCGTGGCTGAATGTTCGTGTGATTTCTTATGCAGTTGTTTAAGATGGAAGATGTGAGTATGGGAATGTGGGTAGAGCAATTTAACAGCTTAAAACCAGTTCACTACTCTCATAGCTTGAAGTTCTGCCAATTTGGTTGCATAGAAGACTATTACACGGCCCATTATCAATCGCCTAGGCAGATGATGTGCCTGTGGGATAAACTGCAAAGGCAGACAATTCCTCAGTGCTGTAACATGAGATGACATATAAGAGACATGGGTTCTGATCTTTGATTCCAGTGAAAAGGGACAGAGAAAACAAGTTTTGCAGTGCAGCCATATACCATTGAGTATTGTATATAACTGTGGAGCTTAGTTAGTTAACGTCACCCTGTATAAAATGACCTTTTCAATCTCAGTATTTATTTATTATTGTTTTTCTGGTTCTTCTTTGGGACACCTTTTTGGGATTCTCAATTCTTTTAGCTCGGGATTGGATGTGATGATAAAGGGGGAGAGGTGGGAGGGGGAGTATATTGATGCAGATACAAGTTCTGTAAAATCATTTGAGGGATAGCTTTCTGTATCCACAAAAAATGAGATCAATTATTACACCAACTGGTGCTTTTTGTTTGTCTCCTCATTCCATGCTTTCAACTTTCCATTTCACCATAACTTGGTTTGCTTTATTGAGTAATTTCATACTAACTTTATATATTTTTTAAATTGAAAATTGAACACGAATTAATATTTTGGATAATTGAAAATTAAGAGATTGAAAATTTGAAGAAAAAAAGAAACTAAAGTGGTGGATTTTATAAATTATAAACATTCGTATTACAATTTAGTTACATCAGTAAATAGAAAAATTTAGAAGAAAAAGATTATAAACTGAATTTAGTCCTAGAAGTGAATTTGTATATAATTTCTGTAAAAAGTGTAACTTTTGTATAAATTGATTAGGAGCTAGGTCAATGCGCAGGTTTGTTTGAAGATTTTGATTACACCTAAAGAGTGTTTTAGTTTTCTAGGATCAGCTACTTTTTAATCTCTGAAGCTTCTAAATATTGTGATTAATATATTACCAGTGACTTTCTTCTAAATATTGTGATTAATATATTACCAGTGACTTTCTTCTTTCACCAAAGTGGACTCCATAAAATGGACTTAGTCATCGTTTTCAAGGTGTGCAGGAGAAAAGTTAGAGCAAAAAAGTTAAATTTATAGTCAAAAAGAGAACGGTGAATCCCTGATACAAAGCCTTAAATTAATCCAATTCAACAATTAACCATTTCATACAAAAAAATATTTATAATAAAAAGAACTTTCAGTTTAGTAAAATTTGGGCACACGAATGATGTGACACTTCAGTGAATTTTTTTAATACAGAATATTCTTAACCCAGAATAATTGACTAATTTCTTAAACAGCATTTCAATGTCGAGATTGTCTGGCGTGAACAAAAATACATAAAAAATAACAAAATACACAATTGCAGTCGTTGAGACATAATGTAATTTTTTAAGAAAAATCAATCGAATTCTTTTGCACATCTATTCACGGAAACCTTTTTATTTACTAATTAATAAGTTTTTATAATATATTAAGCATGGAAGTTCAGTGGCACTAGAAAATTAATTTTAGGATACCAGTTAAAATAACTATTTTAAAAAAAAATTTAAAAAATTGGAACTATAACCCCACTAAAAAAATTAATAAGTCAAATGAATAATATATTAAGTAATATCATTTTTAAATAGAATTTATATAAATTTTGTTCTAATGAATAATTTTTATAAGTATCTATATTTTTATAATTTTTTATTTACATTTCATTTGATAATTAAAAAAGTAATTTAATTTATTATAACTAAATATTAATTTAATATAATATTTTAATTTTAAATAATAATAAATATATAAGAGATTTTAAATTTTAAAAAAATTATAAAATTAATTTTCCTTTAAAAAAGTTAATAAGATCAAAATTAAAACTAAGCTAATTTTACAAAAATTAAAAAATATCTAAACAAGTATTATATATATTATTATAACATTGTTGTTAGTATGTAAATAAAATAAAAATAAAAATATTTTTATCTTTTATATTCTTCTTCGGAATTAATGTAAAACAATTTTTAAATTAATTTATTTTTAATAAATATGATTTGAGAGGTTATTTTGAGAAGGTTTAGATAAAAGATTTTGTGTGAGATATATATATTTTTTTGTTTCTCAAATTTTTTTTAAGTAAATATACTTGTAGAAGTAACATTGTTAATATTTGAAAACATTTTAATATAGATTCTTATAATTATTTAAACCATATCGGATTAAAGTTGTAATATAAGTCATACTAATTTATTCTAACCAATTTTAATTACGAGATCTTTTATGTTTTTATAATAAGATCAAAATTATGTATATAAATAACTTTAAAATATTTTAAAAATTTCTGAACGTGAAACACGTGTGAATGTTATATATTTTACTTTTATAAACTTTTCTAAATAATTTATATCATTTAAAAATTCAAATAAAAAATAATTTATATACATTCTTCACACTTTCTCAACGTAATAAAATCGCCACATGAGACAAAATCTTTCTTAATAAATGTAAATATGGAATTAATGCTGTTAGTAGATAGGAAATTGAAAGTTTCTGCGATTTACCAGAATCAGAAGGATGATGAGATATAAAGTGATAAAAAAAATATGGAAATGAGAAAAAAAAGATAGGTCATGAATTTGAGTCTCGTACTAACAAACTTAACAAACTTAATTAAGAATGTAATTTCATAAAATATTTATATTGGAACAAGACTCTTGCTTTGTATATCATACATGATGAAAGTAATTTTAAAAAATGATGTAGGTATGGTTTAGATATTTGAGAAGGATTTTAGTTGCAGGAGAAAATTAATTGGGTGTTATTTAGAAAATAATATTATTACAAGGTAAATATGTAATATATTATTAATTTATTCATTTTAAAAATATGATATTATTCCTAGACGTAGATGAGTATGTCATGATCACACAAAAATTTTATCATTATTTTTTTAATTTTATATATAAAAATATTTAAAGTTTTATTTTTTTAAAAATTATATGTTTGGTATCGTTAATTTTAATTTCTGCCTTAACCTGTATAAAATTTTCAAATATAATTAATATGATAGCTTAATCATAAAATAATTCTTGATTTACACTTAGTTTGATCTTAAAATTATATTTTAATCATAAAATAATCTTATAAAACTTAATAATAAGATGCGATTATAAGTCATTTAAGATTAAAATACATATTTTATTTTTTAAGGACTTGGTTTTTTTAAGAATAAATTTGGTTTATTTGGAGTAAATGGTTGAGATTCAGTGACATATTTTCATTATTACTTGGATGAGAGTTGAGCTATTTAAAATATGACGGGAGAGATGCTTTCTCATATTCTACTTAAAGATATTAACAATATTATCGATTGGAATTTTGTCTTAATGCACACCAATTTGTAAAGGTCCAAGTTTTTTTTTTTTCATATTTTTTTATAATGTTATTCTTTCATAAATATACCACTTATAATTTTCAAATTAACGAGAGTTAGAAGTTGTATTTTTAATAAAAGTATTCATTTCTTAAAATAATACCAAAATTCTCAATATGTAAACAATGAATTCAAAATTATTTAATTTTGGTTTATTTTTTTAATCTAATATTCTAAAATAATAGTTAACCTAAATTATTAGTATTGAAAAATAAATTTTTAATTTTTACACTAGTGAAGAATATGTCTTTTTACATCATATTTTTTTTATCAAATTAATTACTATCCAACATAATAAAAAAATACCGTGAAGATTTTTAAATTAAAATCAACTCTTTTACCTCAGATCTTATATGACCCGACATAAAAAGTGAAATTTAAGTGATATGTTTGATATAAGTTACACTTTTTATGTTAGATCTTACATGGTGTGACGTAAAGTTTGCTTTATATCTATTCTAGTAATTTATCTTTCTCATGCACACAATAGATTTTTGATCGATTGTGACTATGACCACTACGTGAACTTTTTGATCATTTTTTTATCATAATGAGTTGTAGTCACACTATCATTGTAACTCATTGGTACTTCTGAATGTTTCTTTTCGATTGGATTGGAACATTAGGACATTTATGTGTGATTCTCTATCTTTTATTGAAAATAAAACCGTGATTATTTTGATATCTCAATCATGATAATATATAAATGTCTCCATTGGATGTTTGTTGTTGAATATCCTGAGAAACCTAAGGTAGAAGAGAAATAACTAGAGGGACCTAAGGTAAAGGAGAAATAACCAGAGGGATCCAAGGTAGAGGAGAAAAAAATCAGAGGAATCCAAAAAGACACAAGTGGAGAAGAAAAGGAGAAGGAAGAAGTCACTCCTTCACCAAAATCCCAAAAAAAACTAGAAAGTACGGTCACCAATTACAAATCTCACACGGTGGTTATTATGGAAGAAAAAATAAATATTTTCAAAACACAGCCATAATTTTATGTCGATTATAGTAATAATCAATGTAAATTTTAACATTTTTATATCGAATAGTTATTCTGATATAAATTTATATCGCTCGTATTGATGTTAAAACTTAGTTACACATAAAAATATTAAAATAACATACGTAAAAAAAACATTTATGTACTAATGTTATTTTTCGAATAAATAGATCTCATATCTTAGTATATTTTAAATTAAGTTATACTAATAAATTAACTTTTATCTTAGATATAAAAATTTTATATATAAATTATAATAAAAAAATTCACTTATTCAAAGAATAAGAATTACAAACTTATTTTAATCCTATTTTTTAAATATATTAATTAAAAATAACCATTATATTATAAGAAAATAAGTAATGAGAATCAAGAATTAATCTCTAACTCTTGTTCTCAAATAAATAGATGTTATTAATATATATATATATATATATATATATATATATATATATATACTTTCTTTTCTTTTTTCTTAATAAAATAATATTACATATTTTAATTTAAAAATAGTTTTTATTTATAAAAGAATTTGACTTATAGGTTTATAGGTCAACCTAAGTCCAAATTTAGGTCATAGGTTAATCAGGATAAATTTAAAATTTATTTCATTCAATTTATGCCATAATTTTTGTAGATTTAGGATGAATACATTTTATCAATATTTTTATTAATATATTTAAATACATAATTATCTTATTTAACTATTTATTATTAACATAAGTTTAGTAAATGTGAATAAATAGTTATGTACTTAATTTATTGTTTAAATTATATATTTTAACTAATTATCTATGTATTGATGCATAAAAGATAAATTAAAGATGGAAAGAAGTTTTGATAATTAAGATTTGTTCAATGTAGCAATATTTCTTTCAGTGAATTTCTTAAAAAAGTTCATTCTTGATTTTGTATATTTTTTTATATTACATTGTTTCATCATATTTAAATGGTAAAATGTGATTTCATTAAAATGATGTCATTATTATGAAACAATTAATTTTTTTAGACTTTAATTTTCATTTGAAAA